CTGAGCACATGCCACTCGGGTGCCTGGCTCCGAAATCCCACCACTCCGAAATGCAGCTGTGAGTGGGCAGGCCGTGGGGTGTCCGGGTCCCCCAGCCTACCCGTGTTGAGAAACCAGAGAGGGAAAGAAGCCTCTGGCCCAAAGCTCTGGACTCCAGGCAACCACTGTCTTCCTCCCGCCCCAACCCCCTCCCCGAAAAGCGCGAAGAGCCGACGTGGAAGAGAAAGATTAGATTTCGCTTCCCTCTCATCAATTTTCTGTTTAATGTCACCAGGCCCCATTGTGGGAGAGGAAAGCACGTCACCCAGGCCATAAATTTGTGGTTATAGTGCCTCCGGCCGCCTTCCTCCTCTCGGGGACAGGACTGAGCGGCGAGCAGGTGGCGACACCCGCGCCTGCCGGCTCCTTCTCCGGATGCGGGTCCCGGGCTTCTAGCTCCACGAGATCCAAGATGCACGCCCGCCGCAGCGGCACCTCCAAAGAGCTTTTGTTTCTGGCTCGGATGTGGAGGCTTTGATTTTTTTTTTAACCACCCACCTCAGGAGGCTTTTTGTTTGTTTGTTTGCATCTGAAAACCCTGCTACTTAAAAACCCGGTGGGAAGAGAACTACCCGGTGGCCCCCCCCAATTGTGTCTGTGCCTTCAGCGCGCAGACAGGCAGTAAGGGAGCCTCAAGCCGGATTCCCGGTGCCACACTGGGGCTGACCCAGAGCTCTGCAAGCTGGCGTTTCAGCGTCTGCCCAAGTGGAGTGTATGCTAGACAGTGATTTGGGGGGAAACTGGGGAGCTCAGTGATACCCCTAGTCAGTTCCTCTGCCCATCCTGGATTCTGGCGGTGAGGTTATTCAGGTAGTTTCCTTTTGGGGCCACTTGTGGAAACGTCCCTCGGTCGTTTCCTACCTCCCGCTGGCATCGATGTCTGAGAATTGGGGAGGAATGTGTATTCACACACGTTAGGGGAAAAAATGGATCTATTGACTTGAGTTTTAATTTAATGGATCAACTGTCCTGTTAACAAAAGAGGCGGTGGCCACACCACACTCCAGCCGGCAGTCAAGGGGGTCCAGTTGTCTCCAGGCTTGAGACAGAGCTCTGCCACAGACCCTGGGAACTTGAAGGAAGTTTTACTTGGCTTATAAATACTGCAGGTAACTAGACTAAGGGGCTCAAACCTCCCCAGAAATTAGGGAGAAGGTTCACAGCTCATGTGTCATATTACTGGTAGGAACCCCCAGGGGTTCTTCTGCTGGGTGCGGAGCCCTACTACCCTGAAAGTGGGGGCTGCCACCAGAGAGCTTGGGGTAGAGTGAGGCAGAGCTTCAGAACATGGGAAGTGACCCAACCAGGTTCCAGGCGGGGAAATGGTGGTGGGGAAGTCTGGCTAACTGGGCTTTTCACAGCATGGGAGCTTGGAAGGAAGGGAGTAGGAGACCCGCCTGCTGACAGGGCCGGGGGCTGGTGGCTGTGGATGGGGTGGGGGGTTGGGTGGGGGGGTGGTGTTCCCTGACACTTAGCCTAAATGCCTTTCCTAGGGCCTAGCAGAGGCCGGAGCCTCCTCCGGTCTCCCTGCCACTGTTGAGACCAGGCAGCAGGATTCTGGCTCCGGAGAGTCACTCCAGACATACCCTGCCGTTTGACCCCCGTGGACACATCTGCACACGGCTGAAACCTGTAATCCTGCAGGCACTGTGCTTCCTTCAAAACCAGATCTGGTACAACCAGCAGTGGAGGCGGGTGTCCCGGAGGTCTTGAAGCCAGTTTTACTTTGGGGCTCTACCTGGAAGGAACACAAAGACTGACCAGGCACTTGTCCCCAACCAAGCAAGGTTGTTTCTGTCACTCAGCCATCCTGACCTATTATTGAGAATCTCTCCGATTATCTATCTGGGCTTTCCCTCCTGGGCTCCTATAATGGGGGGAGGGGGGGTTACACACTTCTACACTTATTCACCGCCAAGACTGAGGGCTATCTGGGTCAGCCCAACAGGAAAACCAATCCGTTCTTATTTAGCAGACCCCCAAAGCTATCCTCCCATGTCCCCAAAGCCTGCCTTGTTCCTCCAGAACCTCCCCAGGCTTAGCAGAGGCCACGTCCAGCCTTGGATGAAGAGATCTATAACAGGAGGCCCGGGAAGCTGCCTCTTCGGCCCTGGGGTGCGGGGGGGGGGGGCACACCCTCCCACCTTACTCCGCCTCCTTTAGTACAAATATCACACTATCACCAGTAAAAGGACCAGGAGAAGCCTGGCGATAGATGCTTCTGCCCTTTATGAAAATCACTTTAATTTAACCCAGATGGGTCTCCTCACTGATAACCTCATGCAACGAGCCCTCTGAATTATGCTTTCCGTGTGAACACACTGGGTTATATTTAGCCACAAATTACGACTGTGTTTAACAAGCACCTTTCCTGTGTGCGGGGAGGGGGGGGGCTGAGCAGCCTCCTGACCTGGTTGGAGGAAATCAGCAACAACAGAATTTAAACCTCCCTGGGAGGAAGCTGCAGAGGCTGCAGAAGCTGTTTATCTGACTTCAAAGTGGTCTGGGACTCCTCTCCTTGCTGTTTAAAACTTAGAAGCAGGTCTTAAGATCTGTCTTATGGCCTTGAAGGGAAAACCTGTGCCTCCCACAGGGGTCCCTCCGGCTTGAGCCAGCTTCAATTTAGCAAAGTTCCTGGCTTGGTTTGGAGCGGTGTCAGGGAAATGCCTTGGGGGAGATGCTGGCTAGAGGCGCACAGCCAGGCCTCCAGAGGTGTGTGGAGAGAACAGGGGACACTTAGCAGGATAGGACCCTGCAAATTCTTCCTCCTCTGCTTCTGTGTTTTGTCCCTTCCCCGGTTGGGAGGGGACAGGAGCTGGGGGGGGCTGGGATACCCCCAGAGAACAGAGCAACACCTCTTGCTCCCACACCTCCGGGACCAGCCAAATAAACGGGCTGTTTCAAGTACTGTTCTTTGGGGGAGAAGCCCGTTTCATCTCGGGATCAGGGCACCCTAACTTTCTTCTCCCCCTACAGTCAAGCCTGTGCACAAACCTTATGCCTCAAAGACAAGAGACTGCCCATACTCCCAGGCACAGAGCACCAAGTGGGCATGCTTGGGTGACCCGGGCAGGGGGACTTGGCCACACTCAGATTTTTTTCCTCCACGGTATTCCTCCCAGCGCTCAGTAGTGCGTCTATGGAGACCCTGCCATGGTAGAGGATCTTCATGGATCCAAGACCTCCTCTTCCAACCAGGTCGGTACCTCAGGCGGCTTCTGAATTAGACCCCCTTTGAAAAGGTAGAGGCGATATCCCAATGTCCCCAGCTATCCTTTCAAGCCCTGATTCTAGATCGAGGATGGACTGTCATCTCATTGAAGGAGAAACAGATGCTTCGAACCATACACCCCCCCCATCTCCATCCTTTCCCAGTCTGGATACAACCTGCATGCTATTGTACTGCCCAAGTGCAAAACCCTCTCGATCTGGGCACCCCTGACCCTCTGGACCAGGCTCCAGCCTTAGGCCTCTGGACCTGTCCCTTTCACTTCTGTGGGAAGAATTAAGAGTCAGTTTTTTTTTTTTGTCGTCAAGAAATTGTTTCTAATTTGCCCTTTGACTAATGGCCCAGGGAACAATGGAGAGACACCCAACACACAATTACCCCGCAGTGCAGCACGACTGCTCTCTGGCCCAGGCAGGCATTTATTTGGAGCAGCGACTAATTCACAATTTTATGTAACTCAAGATGCACCCCCACCCCCTTGTATTAAAAAGTGATTATTTATTCAATGAGTTCACACAGTGGGCTCTGGGGCATTTGGGAGCTGGGAGGGCCTAGGGCCTGTTTCCAGGCCCCCAGCCTTGGAGGGGCAGTGGGGAACGTTGGAGGGAGGTACCAGGGTTTTGTGGGTAATGGGGCTGCTCTGCCACAGCTCAGCCGTGATTGAGACTGCTTGTGTGTGTGTGTGTGTGATGGGTGTCGGCGTGCTGCGTGTGAGATTCAAACTGTCCTTTTAAATTACATTTATTTATTTATTTGTGTGTGTGTGTGTGTGTGTGTGTGTGTGCATGCTGCCGGCCTGCTTGTACCCACGGCACTAGTGTGAGGTCAGAAAAAAAAAAAAAGAAAAACAACTTGAGGGAGTCAGTTCTCTGCTTCTAACATGGGAGTACCGGGACAGCCGTGGTGGATCTAACCCGGGTGGCCAGGCTTGGCGAGTGCCTTAGCCTGCTGAGCCAGCTTGCCCCTTTGTATACAAATGTGGTCAGTGTGATGTGAGACACACGTGTGTGACAGTGCCCATTTTGTGGTGTGTCCACACACGGATGGTGTGAGCCCACAGGACGTGCACGTAGACTGAGCACCCATTCAGAACTAACTGCCCAGGTGGCTCTTGGGTACACGAAGCTGTTGCCTGCCTGGTGGAAGTGTCCTGCGTGGGTGGCTGTGCTCAGGTTCCCCGAGCACCCCAGCCTAGAGGAAACCGTGAAGGGTCTCCGCCAGGCCGTGGAGGTGGCTCGGGCATTCAGAGGCCATTGTGTCCTGGGCCAGCGATTGGGCATCAGTCACTGCAGCGTTAACACCCTACAAAAAAATTTTTTTAAACTTCAGGTTGACCGCGGAGATCCGGACACTCCGGTGCACGGACTTGACTTCTCCTCGTTCTAACCCTCCCCGCTCCTCTCCCTCTAGAACCAGAGTTCCCAACCCGTGTGGATCGCGACCCTTCTCCTGGCAGACGTCTAACTCCAAAAAAACATATTCACATTACGATTCATAACAGTGGCGAAATTACGGTTACAAAGTAGCAACGGTCATAGTTTTCTGGCTGGGGAGAGGCACGACGTGAAGAAACTGTGCTAACAAGGTCGCAGCCTTAGCAAGGTCTGAGAAGCACGGCCACAGCCGGCCATGGTCTTCTAAAATTAAAACAAAACAAAAAAAACAAAACAAAACAAAAAAAAAAAAAACACTTGCAGTTTCGGACAGCAGGAAGTCAGAGTAGGAAACCAGGATGGTTTGCTGTGAGCAGATAGCGAGCCCAGCCAAACATGCCCGGGCCCGCCCGGGAGGCTTAGCCTTGCGAGAGGAACACGGGAGCTTATTTTGGTCTGGTGGAACTGCCGGGGGGCCTGTGCGCCCGCGCTGGGCAGCTGCCAGCTGCTGGCGGCATCCAGAGGCGCATCGGCGGCTATTTGCTGTAACAACAGCTATTTTGAAACAGTATTGAGAAGAAGGACGGGGGAAAAGAAAAAAAAAAAAAGGCCACTAGACTTAAGAAGTGAACGCTGGGGGTTAGAAAGGACGCGGGGGTGGGAGCGAGACAGCAAGGAGCCGGGGCCTTTCACACCCGGGGATGGGGGAGGGGGGAGAGCCGCTCACACACTGAAGGGGGGTGTCGGGGGAGAGGCAGCACGCGAGGGCGGTGGAGACAAATACTCACGCCTAACTTTTAGGGATCCGGAGAGGCTGATCCCCGAGATTCTTAAACCGGCTTACGGAGGAGGGGAAAGCAGCCTGGCGTCCGCGCGCCCTAGCAGCGGGCCTTTTTTTTTTCCTGAAGACGGCGTGGATTTTACCACCCGTGCGCGCCCGTCTGCCCAGTCTCCACCCGCCCAGAAAGCGGGGTGCACCCGAGGCTCGGGGACCTTTCCCGCAGGGCTAAGGCGACCTCCCTTCCCCTGGCTACACACAGGAGGGAGGGTGGGGTGCGCGCCCCTCCCCCCACGCCGGCCTCCCGGGTCCCAATTGTTTCTCTCTTTGGGGGTGCGGGGGAGAATACTTTAAATGGGGACATAGACTTTTACAAAGACTCCTGGGTCGGGAGAAAACAGGAGCAGGAAAGGGAGACGGAGGAACTCGGATTTGCAAACCAAGCAGGAAAAATCAGCGCAGACCGGGTAGGGCACGAGGTTGGGGGTGGGGGTACCCTCCCTCGCAGCGGTTTCTCCCGAGCCGGGACGCTCGCCCCGCGTGCGCGCGAAGCGGGAAACGGCTTCCCGCCGCCGGACGGGACTGGAGCCACGGAGCTCACCTCACCAGGCAGGACCTGTGATCGCTCGCTCGCTCTCCCGTCGGGTCCCCACCGCGCCACCGCGCGCTGCCGTCCGCACCCATCCCGCACAGGGTCGGCCTGACCCGGTCGCGCAACGAGCGGCCAGCCAGCTAGCCAGCCAGCCGCGCGCTAACCGCGCGTCCAGACGCCGCGCCTCCCCGCAGCTCGTGCGCCCGGCTGGCCGCAGGGGGGGTCCTCCATCCCGCCGCAGCCAGGCTCGCCCGGCCCCGTCCCGCGCCCTGGCGCAGCCCGAGGAACAGAGGGCGCCGGCCGAGGCCCCGTCCCTAACGGGCGGGAAAGCCCGGAGTCCCCGCCCGCCGCCCCCACCCCAGGTCAGCGCAGCCCGCAGGGGGGCCAGGCCGGCCCGGCAGTGCGCCCGCTTCCCCTTTCTCTTCAGATGCCTTTGATCCCGGGGCTCTCCGCCGCACCTCGGCTCGGGAGCCGCCTGGGTCGGCCCGCGGGGATCCTGGAAACGGTCCCCGGTTTATCTCCTTTCATCAAGCGGCCTCGGGCAGCCTTGAAACCGCGGAGCCAGTAATTGCTTTTTTTCAGGAGGCCCGGTGCGGACTGGATAACAGCCAATCAGCGCCTTGTTTACACTCGGTGATGGACAGCCCGCTGGCGGGGTGCCAACCAATCACGGCGACCCCGCGGAAGGGAGGGGGGGCGGGGAAAGAGGCGGGCGGCCGGCCGGCCTCCGAGCTCCGGTTTAACTCCTTGGCGTCCGCGCCGGAAAGAGAGACTGGAGAAACCAGAAGGAGTCTTCGCTGTGCCGTTTGGCATCTACTGAAATGCCACCACCACCCCCTCCACCCCGCCCCAACACGCACAAGAAAAAGAGGAGCAGGCATTATGTATTCATCGCCACCAAGACATCACCTCTCCTTCTTGAGAATAAATAACATTTGGATAGGCAACCAAATTCTCACCGAAATATTTGCTCGCAGAATGGCTTATTTTTTCTTTTCCCCCCCAAAGCGGTTTGGTACTGATTATGATAAAGGGAATTGTTTGGAGGCTGTTTTCCATTGTAGTGCGAGTCTTGTGAATGTATGCAAGGACGAGAAACAAACGCTAAGCACGGTCTTCACACCATGACAACCACCCCTAAAATTACCAAGTGAAGGTATTTTTAAAATCTGGGAGCTGATGGAGAAAGCAAACCCTTATCTTAGCAACAGAGCCTCGATTTCCATCTCGGTTGTCGCTGCGCGGCGGAGTGTGGCTGAGTTGAGGTTAAAAACGGAGGGCGCACGGATAGATGGATAGACGGCTGGGGGGGGGTGGGGAAGTTAAGGTTCCAGGCAGAGGAAGGAATGAAGGGCCGGGCAAGCATTTGTGGAGTCCGCGTGGCCACGCCTCAGACCCAAGTGCATTCTCCGGCTTCGGGTCCGAGTGTGCGGCGGCCTGGGAGTGGAGGTGCAGCAAGACAGTCCGGCCTCTGCGCTTGGAAGTTTGGCCTTCTTGGACCCCCCCTTCCCCAGGCTCCTCCACCTGCCACACCGACCCCGGGCAGTGGACAGGGCATGCGGTTCGCGGCGTGAGGCTGTTTCTTTTCATCCGGTGCAAAAGCAAGCAAGCGAACTACACCCCAGATTCTGGACCTGACGAATTAAGGGAGAACAAATCCCCACATCTTCTTCCCCTACCCCGGACAGGGAAGGACGCAAGCTCTCTCTCTCTCTGGCTCCAAGTCGCCGGGCGCTCCTCTCCCGCCCTGCGCCACCACATTTCCCATTCAGCAGCAATGATCTGCGCAGAGGAGCTGCGCAGTCGCTGGGCTTGAATTAGGCGCCATCAGGCTCGGTAGTAGCCCTGCTGCTCCCTGATTGGCAGCTCCCTGGCCCGGCGCCAGCCTATTGGGAGGCCTGTTTACGCCGAATGAGTGGCACGAGCTCGGGGCCGTGGAGGGCCGCGCGGCCAATCAGCGCGCGGGCTGCTCCGGGTTGAGTGGCACGAGCTTATTAGTATGCAGGGCCCGTGGCTCGCCGCGCCGGGCTGCAGGTTTGAGAGCCGCTCTGGATGGGCTCGCTAGAGTCGTTGTTGTGGAAGCCGTGCACTCACAGTGCAACAGTCAGCACATTGAAAATACCAATAGGAATACAAACCAAAGTCACATTTACTGATTTAATTGTATTGCATTCAATTGTGTCCAGGAAACAGCCTCCAGTAAGTAACTGAAATTGCTTTCATTTTTAAAATTTTTTTGGTATTTTTATTATTTTATTATTTTGGCTTTTGGGGATTTGCATTTTTTTAAGCAGAAGAAATTCAGGATTGTGGTGTTAAGAAATAATAGATCTTCCCTTTTAAGATCCGTTATGATGTTGAAAGGCTTTTTTAAAAAAAAAGATGGACTATATATATATATGAGTACGATATTTTTCCCCTTTGAAAATATTTATCGATCGGTTTAAAATTCCCCCCGTAATGCGTCCTTGCTTTGCTCTGAACGCTTGTTGTGTCGATCGACAGCCTGCATTAAAAATAAATTATCGAGACAGGACAGAGACCGCCACGTTTCGTTCGTTCAGCAAGAGCCCCCGCGGGTAGCCCCGAGTGGGCAGTGAGTGAGTGAGATTCCCAGCTCCTGAGGAACCACGAGAGAACCCCAATTATTTGCTCCCCCATCTTACTCCCCTCCCCCAGCAGTCTTGAATGGGCCCCGCCCGGTCGCTTCTCAGCGCCGGGAACGGTTGGGTCTCGGTGGCCACGGCTGCTGCTTTCTGGGCCTCAGTGAGGGGACAGGGGCTTGGAAGGGGTACTGGCAGGTTTCTCTTCCCCACAGACTTAATTCTTTCCGGAACGCTTTTTTTTTTCCTCTTTTTTTCTCTTCTTCTGGAGGAGCGGGGGTGGAGGAGGGGGGCCGAGCAACGGGGCGTTTTCATGCGGTGCGTTCCGGGCAGCACGCGGGATCGGGGCCACGACCCTCGCGAGTGGCGTGGTCGGGGGACGGGACCTTCTCCCGGAGCCGGGGTCTCGGCACCACCCAGTCCTTGTTACTCGCCGGGATGCGGTGGGGGGGGGAGACGACGGGTTTCGCAGGGAGCGGGTTGTGCCGCGAAGCCGGAGCCACTCGCGTCCGGTGCGCTTCTGGCTGCGGCCTGGCCTTACAGGCCTCGTCGAGCCCACCCGCGCGGGGGAAACTCGCCGGGAGAGAGCCCACGGACCCCAGAGCTTGGCTTGCCCAGGAGGACAAAGGCGTCCCAGACCCGGCTTTTAGATGCAAAAATTTGAAAAACAAAGCAAACCTCGAGAAGCCGACGGTACCTGTGCTGGCCAAGCCTCTGGAGGAACCGCGGCTCTTGGGAGGGTGGGGGGGTCACGCCCAGCCAGCCCGGGGAGGTTTTCTGGGGTCCGGGGTCCTTGAGACGCGTTCTTATCGGCGACTCTCCGGCTGCGCGCGCGCGGGGCTCTCGGCGGCTTTCTGTTTCCTCTGGTCCAACCCTGCCCGGGGTCCTTTGCGGCGTCCTGCCCTCCGATGGGGCGCGTGGAGGCCTCGGGGCCTCGGGCCTCGCGGACTGCTGCATCGCAGCTCCGGGCCTCGGCCCTCGCGCACCGTGGCCCCGGTGGCTGCTGCTGCTCCTCCTGCTCGCTCCGTACCTAGCCGGCTTTCCCAAGCCCGGGGGCGCGAGCAGCCCAGGGCGGCCGCGGCAGCTTCTCGGGCAGGACGGAACACAAAGGAAAGGCCCCTCCAGTCCGGCCTGGAGCGCAGCGGCGGGTGCGGGCGACGGAGCCCAGCCCTTGTTTGCGTAGAAAATCCAGCGGGCTGGTGAGAAGGGCACAAACGAGCCAGCGATCTGCCCGCTGGGGGTGGAGAGTAGAGCGGTTGCGTGAGCTCAAAGCCCGCGTCCCGAGAATCCCTCGCAGACCCCACTTTCGCTCCTACTTTGAAATGCCTTCCCGGGGGTGGGGGCCCAGAACAAAAGCCCAGCGCACACGACTCCCCGGAGGCCGTCGCGAAGCCTTGTACCGCGCGCGCAGCCTCCGACCCCACTCCGGCCCTCGGCGCCTTTGAAGCGGCAGGTTCCTGACCTCCCTCCCCTTCCTCCATTCCCTTTGTCCTCCCCTGCGCCCTCCGGGGTTCGAGAGGCGCCGGCCCGGGTTGGGGCGCGCAAGTCCCTCACCAGCCTCTCTGGGCAGCCCCTCCCCTGACCCCGGCGCCAGCAGCGCCTCGGCCTTGCTTGCGCCTTCCGCGCCCTGGCTGAGCAGGCCGGCGCGGTGTAGGGGAAACTATTTGTTGGACCCGGGGAAGAGTGAAACTCCCCAGAGGGAAGGGAGTCCCAAACCCCTTTGTATGCAGTTCGAACACAAAGAGAAGTCTTTGTGTAGTCCCGTTTATTTACAATGCAAAATTCTCCGAATAAATATTAAAAAAAGCTTATCACATGAGCAAATATGTATTCACTTAATACATTATGTTTTCGGTTATAGATTAAATCAGACACAAAATAGTGTGCAAATAAGACAGCGTAGGACCCAGAGCATAAAATATAGCAGTTTAAATGGTATTTACGAAATAGAAAACATCTTAATCGCTTTGTTGTCACGGTGGGGTGGCTTTTTAAAAAAAATCAGATTTTCTGCAAAGTTCACAATTAAGGGTACCTCCTTTCTGTTGGAGCTGAGACCAAGCATTAAAACAATGCGTATTTCGGAAATAAGAAAAAGAAGTATCCGAAATAGAGGAGGACCGAGAGACTTTGGTCGCACGTGCATGGCGGTGTACAGTTTATATCGCTTGCCCCGTCGCTCCTTTCAGAGTTTGAAATTGTCTGCGATTTCACCCGGGAGTAGACATTTTACGATGGGAGGGGGTTGCAGGAGAGGGAGAGGAGGGTCGTTTCAAGTTGGCCTTGCCAGAGGTGGGGATGGAAGTCCGAGAACCCGGGTCTGCTGGGACCCGGACACAGGAGAGGGCTGCGCTGTGCTGGACTCTGCTGCTTCCCCGCAGGGTCGATGGGGTGCCACGCGGAGACCAGCCTTGGTTAGGTGATCCAGGGCGGGCGCTGAATGGAGAAACGTCGTGGCCGATTTGGGAGGCCGAGAGAAAACAATTTCTGACTCTCTGAGCCCCCTCCCCCCCCCAAAGCCCCCAATCCGCAGAGGAAGATCCTGGGCGAATTTGATTGGGGGGCGGGGTGATTGTTCCAGCCTCACCAGGAACCTCCGGGCTCGGGGACAACAGGCCAGGCACTGCGGCGTAGCGGCCCAGGTGATGCCGGTGGCGGTCGAGGGGCGCCCGGGGCTCCGGGACGCCAGTCTGGGGTTGTGGCACAATGCTGGAGGGGGGGGCCGGTCCCACTGGGGCTGAGTGGGGGGGGGCGACATTCAAAAGAATGGACTGAAAGACGCATGGGGGGATGGGAGAGAGGAGAAAAGGAAGGTTATTTAAAAAAAAACTCTTGAGTTACAATCAATAAAATTACTCGCTTAATTAGCATGGTTATTCGGTTAAGCGGAATGCAGTAAAAGCTGGACCTCAGAAAGACCGTGGTGTGTGTGGGGGAGCGTGGACCCCGGGCTTTTTCCTCCGAGACACCTTTGGGCAGCGGGGGAGGGGAGAGGGTGTGTGTGTGAGTGTGTGTGTGTGTGTGTGCGCGCGCGTGCGAGTGTGCGTGATGGCTTCGCAGATTTGGGTTTTTATCACCCAGCGGAGCCAGCAGCCTCTTCGCAACGGCGCCTTCGCCGCAGGGACTCTCAGGGACCAGAAAGGGAAGCAGCGCGCTGCGCTGTCTGGGTTGCCTCTGGCTCTTGCAGGCCAAGCGTGGCTCGGACGGTGCGTGTGTGCTCGCGGACTCGCGTGCAGGGCGGCTCCAGTGACCCGGCGCGTAAGCGTGTGCAGCAGGGAGTCCTCCGAGCGCTCCCAGCGCCGCTGTCCGGTCTGGATGCCTCTCCGGTTGGCGCGCGAGGAGGGGGCTGGGAGCGGGAGAGGCGGGGACCCCCGAACGAGAGGAACCCCCGAGTCACCGAGTCTCTTCTCCTTGCCTCCATAGACCATGGACCTGCACGGCGGCCGCTGGCTTGGAGCGCGGCCGCCCGCCGAGAAGCCCAGTCCGCCGGTGTGCTGACCGGCTCGGCTGCCTGTGCCGCCGGTGACCCCAGACGCTGCCTCCCGCGCGCCACCCGCGCGCCGCCTGCACTCCGAGCCACCCCCAGGCCCCGGCCGCGCTGCTTGCTGGAGGCGGCGGCGGGCCGGGGCCGGGGCCC